ATTCCTTTGCCAACTGCCAATATCTTATTTTGAAGTAAAAAAAACAAAACGGGAACAAATACAGTATTTGTATTTGCATGTGGCCCGCGGGCCGTAGTTTGAGGACCCCTGACCTACATCGATACCCTCCCTTTCAGCTTCTGGAGCTCAGCGAGTGCCTCCTACTTGCCTCTTTTGCTAGGAAAACGGGCATCTGTGAGTAACTATAACTGTCCAGAGAGACACAAACTCTTCATAAATGGAATATCCGCTAGGCCCCCTGGCACCCCCCACTCTCCCGGTCTCAATTCTGCACCCCTCTAGGTCAGGCCTGTTTCGCTTCTCCTAAGCCATCGTCCGTATAAGCCGTATCATGCCCTCGTACCGCACACAATTATATATGGGGGAAAGGCATTTCTATTTTGGTCTCAAGAAAATTATGTGATTTTGCTTAGGTTCAATTTTAAAACGTGGAATATGACCGAACTTAATGTTAGGACTTAGGAAAAATGTTCACGGTAATTATAGATGAGGATACATATGTGCAATTTCTTTCAAATTTAGTAATAAAAAAAAAAATTCTGGATCCTAACCTAACTATTTATAACTTGGCCAGGAGGGCTCTGAGAATCCCAGTTATTTCACCAGAATAGGTTATTCTTCGTGCTTATCTTATGGAAGCAATAATGCATGACGGAGCGTGAATTATGGCATATTAATTCTCACCTGGTGTGCGCATCGGCCGCGAGCTGTCAGTGCAACTAGGCATGAGTTAATATCTAATAATTCCCACTGTCTTCCTGAGATTATGGCATTTTATTAGTAAAGGTTATGCCTCTAAAAATGTTTTTGTATGCTAATTGGGAGACAGGAGCTCAGCGTGGGGAAGGCACCCCGGCCTCCTCCAGCAGCCACTTCTGAAATTTCCCTTCTGTGTCCCCAACATTTCATTCTTGTTGGCACACCCATACATCCTCTTCTGGAAGTTTTCTCAGGAGCGTGTGACCCAGAGGCTCGCCTTAGCGATTGGGAACACAAAACTGCGCGCTCCCTTGGACCAGGAATTCCATTCATGAAGTTTAAGTGCGCCTTGCCCGCATGATCATGGCCCGACGAGGGCTGAGCAAGGACGCGAGGACTCTTCCAGGGCCAGGGGGAGGCGCTGTGGGCAGTGGGGACCAGACATGGTCGAGGGAGAGGTTTTGAAGCTTTGAGTCTTCTACCAGCTGCCATGCTCGGGACAAGCAGCTTGTCTCTCTGGTCCAGGTTCCTTCCGAGACAATGGACATTCTGCCACCTTGTGTGTTATCATTCAGAAGCACCCACTTCCTGAAGCCCCTCTCCTCACCACCTGTTCCTCATATTGAAGCCAAGGTGAACACCACCCGGCCCCTCTCCTCTCTCTGGGCCAGAGACCAGTCTGATATGTTGGGGCTATTTGTTACACAGCAGAACATAACCTAGCCTGGCTGATACACCCAGCCTCACTCCCACACTCGGTCAGATCTCTATATACCGCCATAAACTCTCCCGTCTATGCCTTCTAATCACGTAGTTATCTGTGATTATTTGTTGAGTGTCTGTTTCCCCTTCTAGACCAAAAGTTCCATGAGGGCACAGACCATGTCTGCTTTGCTCATCATTGTATCCCTAGCTCCTAGGTGCCTGGTTCACGTGAGAGGCTCGATACTTGTAGAATGATTGAAGGAAAGAATGGGTGATTCAAATGAATGAATGGTAAGGTAAAGACAAGCACTCGTGTATTACAAAGTCAATGCCCCTGGGCCGTCGTGGCTCAGTGGTTGAGCGTCGACCTATGAACCAGAAGGTCACGGTTCAATTCCCGGTCAGGGCACACGCCCGGGTTGCAGGCTTGATCCCCAGTGGGGGGCGTGCAGGAGGCAGCCAATTCTCTCTCATCATTGATGTTTCTTTCTCTCTCTCTCTCTCTCTCCCTCTCTCCTGCTCCCTTCCTCTCTGAAAGCAATAAATATGTATTTAAAAAACCAACGATGTCCATGCACACCAGCACTTGGCGTGGCTACACCGGCCCACGTGTGGTCACGTGTACCCCAGGGGACACTGTGCGGCACGTGTGTCATCAACATGGCTCACTCCCAGCACAGTTCCTGCAGCCATGGCTCAGTTTTGAAAGGCTCTGGGGGGCCCTCCACACGGGAGCGACCAGGCTCGTAGGCTGAGGAGCCACCGTCTCCCGAACACGGCTCTTTCTTGGAGGCGTGGCCTGGGGGACAGGTGGCCAACAAGACGAGGTCTCCCCACAACTCCCTGCTATTCTAGCGACACCCACCTTCGCTTTAGACGCCCACGGACGTATAAAAACCCTGTCCTTCTGCATCGTGTTTTCCTGGTGGTTTTCGGCGGGATTGTGAAGCCATTGGCCGCCGGGAGGTCTCCCAAACCTTGTTGATAAAAGGAGAAACAAGGTCCTCGACAGAAGCATCTTCAAACTTTGCCAGGGACTCTTGGGAGGTCAGAGGTGAGGGTCGGGGGGGGGCATGCCTGCCCCCTGCTCAGACATTGCAGGCTAAGCCCTCAACACATTGGAAAGAACGTATGTTGGGTTTAGTAAAACCCAGGGCATTCCTCTCTGAAGCTTCCCCAGAGGGTCCAAGGTCGCCCACCTCAGGCAGCCTCAGAGGAAGGCCTTCCCCAGGCCAGGTCGGGGCTCCCTCCTGTCTGTACCCCGCCTCGCCCTCCAGCCTGTGAATTCCCATTTCTCCCTCCCGGATGGACAGAGGTGCCATCCCCCTGCCCCGGCCTCCTCCTGGGACGGGCATGCGCCCTCGCCCTCCGGGAGCAGCTGGGCCTCCTTGGCAGCTGCGGCAGATTAATAAGTGACAAGTTCGCGATGCGAAAAGGAAATGACGAAAGAATGGACCCTTCGCCGGGCCCTGGAAGTCAGGCTGGCACAACGAACACCTGTTGGGAGGCCCATTATGGGACGCGGGAGGCTGTGGGCGAAAAGATGGCTGTGAATTCACTGCGAGGGCCCGCAGGGCTCTGTACAACAAACGAGCTGCCGTGGGGGTGTCGGGGACTTGCCAGGGGAGGGGTGGGGATTCTGTTTCCAGGAGGTAATACAAGCCCCGCCATGATATTAAACCCGCCCCGCGCACCCCCCTGCCCACCTGGGAGGGGGGAGCAGATTGTGTGCGCTAAGGTCACCGCGGACGGCGCTTCTGCGGAGAAAGGAGGAACCATTGAGAGCAAAATCTTTCTGAGAAGGTGAGCGGAGAAAGCATGAGGTCAGAGACTCGAGACTCCCAAATGGTTCACCCGTTCATGTCCGTCTTGTGTAATACAAGCCCCGCCATGATATTAAACCCGCCCCGCCCGCACCTCCCTGCCAGCCTGGTGGGGGGAGCAGATTGTGTGCGCTAAGGTTACCGCTTCTGCGGAGAAAGGAGGAACCATTGATAGCAAAATCTTTCTGAGAAGGTGAGCGGAGAAAGCATGAGGTCAGAGACTCGTGACTCCCCAATGGTTCACCCGTTGATGTCCGTCTTGTCTCTGTAAGTGGAGACGGGGGTGTCTCGCGGAGAATTGGGCCGCCGTTGCTTTATTTGTTTTGTAAACCCCACAGATGCGCACACGCACCCACACGCATCCAGAGTTTCTTGTTGTGGTGTTTTCTCGGCCTGGGACGGATAGAGGAAAAGACGTGTGAATAAGTGGACTCAGTAGCACTGCGATGAACTTTGCCCTTTGTAATGTCATCAGAAATGAGAGGACGTGAAGCATCGGGGATCACCAGGCAGTGTGGCATCGATGGGCTGTTGGGGGGCGGGGGGGAGATATCCTGAATATTAAGTGGTTTCATTCTTTCCTGAAAAGAAAGAGACTCCGGCTGAAATATGCCGGCTCCTACCTGCCTGTCAGCCCCTGATTAAATCTAAGAGCAGGCATCCCATCTGTTTGCCCAAGTGAAAAGCGTAATATTCTCCTACCTGCTTTCTATTCTCCCTCCACTTCGCTTCCTGCAAAGCGATCCCCGATCCCCGGCTGGTTGGGAGGGTACGGGGCACACAAAGGGAAGCGCCAAAAAGCGGGGTGCTTTTAAGCCAGCGGTTCTCAACCTGTGGGTCGCGACCCCTTTGGGGGTCGAACGACCCTTTCACAGGGGTCGCCTAAGACCATCGGAAAACACATATATAATTACATATTGTTTTTGTGATCACTCACTATGCTTTAATTATGTTCAATTTGTAACAATGAAATTGGGGGTCACCGCAACATGAGGAACTGTATTAAAGGGTCGCGGCATTAGGAAGGTTGAGAACCACTGCTTTAAGCGGGTCCGCAGCCTGCCTGGCTGACTCTGGCTGCACTGTCAACACCCGGCCACTGATGCAACATGGATTGGCGTAGCTGTGGGCTTCCATTTGTCACGAGACGTAAAACCCAAAAAAGACACCCAGCGCCAGGAACAACAAACCAGGGCATAAACAACATCCTAACACTTTTTGTAAATTGTTTAAAGAATTACATACAGTATTATATACAGTATTACATTTTC